TGGGAGATTAGTCAAAATAAATAACTATTAAGATAGTCCACTGTCAGGAGAGGATGGCGTGGAGATACAAACTCATTAGCTCAGCTGGAATACAGTAATTACTACACGGTTCTGCACTGCCGCAAGCAGCGCTGCTTCTATTCCAAGGTATGGATTGCAGTTTATGTAAATGAGGAAGAGGAGGCCAGAAAATGAATCTAGGGTAAGTACGTATCTTTTTTTTTTTTGTAGAATTGGAATTACACAGCTAGTAGGACTCAGTGTCACCATCACCTATCTTGGCTAACAGTTGCAAACACAAAATTGAGATTCTTGCCTTCCAAGTTCATAGACATTTCTTCCCTTTCCCCTTCCTCTGACTGTAACACCCCATAAGTGAAAAATTAATTTCTACTCGGTATCAGTAAGTAAATAACAGAACTGGGTTGAGCAGCTCTGGTCCCACACATGATGCTAAACACATTACAGAATTTTTCAACGTATATAGTAGGGAAGCAGTTCATATATATTCTCTGCTGTAAACTACATTGGAGATGGCAAAACTGCCAGTTCAGAGAAAGACAGTTCCACATCAAGCGTGCTGTTAGCTGATGAAATCATAAGACCTTTTAAGTGATATGTGCTGCTAACAGCAGACCTGTTAAACATTTTGTTATTTGTATTGAGGTGGTTGTCCCTTTACCTTGCACATCAGCTGATGTTACATAGGTATACAGTAAAGATGGCATTCTAATTAAAATCATCAAGTTAAAAATCAACTCTGGATTTGAATTTATTAATTCAAACCGGTGAGACAAGCAGTTGGACCAACATCTATAATCTGAAACTAAAGCTACAAGCCCCAGCCCCCAGAAACATGCTACGAGATCCGTATTTGTGCAGCAACAATGCAAAGTCAACAAACATGTGCCTCCGCAAGCTGCCAGTGACAGCAGATGACACAGTCCCAGCAAACAGGCACACACCCTTGCCTTCATTATTTTCACCAGAAAAAGTATTCATAATACTCAGAAGCAGTCAAAAAGAAAGGGAACCCAATCTGGCAGGCTTTTTATAAGTGTGTAATGCTGCATACCTGAAGGGCTGCTTACCACCTCCTTCGGTGAGGCACACTAATGAGGCTGCTTCTGCCATGCACGGGCTAACGTTAATAGCTGTCAGCCTGCGCACATGCAGGTTTTAGTTCTATGTGAAGGCAAAGGAAATAAAACAAGTCAACAAGAACATTGTACAGTCGGACTGCAAAGGCTGGTTTAAAATCCATAGTTACAGCAGTCAATGCGGCAACATATTTTAACAATTAGTAGAAAGCTGGCTGCCTACTGTGCATTGATTCCTTCTGAGCATTCACACTACAGCTAATGTTTTCACTCTGTGCAGAACTATAAACTGATGGAGAAAACCAACCATTTTAAACATTTCTGAACATCTTGATGAATGCTATAATATTGCTGACAAATGACAGGCAACGTTCATGACACTAGGCTACATGAGCTGAGTGTCAGAGACAAGCAGATTAATGGTTCCTATTTGCCATAATAGTTTTAGTAGAAAATGAGCTAATTTGTATAAACTACTGGCTTACAGATGAAATTTTGCAAGTCTTGCTAGGGAGGAAACAAATTCAAATCAAGCAGAAGTGATTTTTTGGGGTACTTAGGATAAGAACATACAATATTTGTCAGCTAGTGATACGACACAGAGGTCTCAGTGGTTTGTACCATCTGACCATAGACACCAAGCTCCTGATGTGTTTGCCTTAGGTAAGCCAGGTTAGAATCCCTCATATCCTGATCAAAACACGGAGCATTAAGAGACAAGAGAGGTCCTGGGGGTTCTGAATTGCCTTCTGGTCTTTCAGAGCAGATTTAGAGCACCAAGGACCTGAATCTCCCTCTGGAAGTGTCTGTGCTTCTCCATATGCTGCAGGGACCTGACATCACTAAGGTCTTAGTGTAGGCACTCCAGATAAGTGTCTAAACTTCAGCTGAATTAATCCCCTTGCCCGGCCAGGCCTTTAGCAAGCTTCTAAATTGAGGAAGCCTCAGCAGGGGAAGTCTTACAAGCTGTGTTTACCAACACAGCTCAACATTGAACAGCATTCCTTGCAGTTCAGAGGAAGCTTTCTCTTGACGAAGCTTGGACACATTTTGGAGTTCACTCATCCTTTAGAGAGACTGTGCTCTGCATTGTTCAAACTCTACTCTCAGCTGGTCAAGCTGCCTTCTCTTTGGAGACTCTAAGTAGCTGTAATTTCTCTTCCTGTGCTCCTGGGGATGCTGTTAGGGCCGTGCCACTTGTCCTCCTTCAAGCAGATAAAGATTTGAGAGAGGCAATATATATGGGATGGGAATCCTGCCATCACAAAACTTCAAGTGTCATATGGGACTCAGAAGCTATGGTAGTTGAGCAGTACTTATCTTTTCTCCAAATTTAAGGCCCTTTGAGCAGTTGACAGCTGCTTTTCAGCTTTGTGTTTGTGTACAGCATCTCTGGTCTCTAATTATCCATTTAGGTCAATACTTATGCAGAAAGGCATACAGAGCATGGCACATACACGAGTAAAATTAAGATGCAACAACATCCTTAGTAGGCCAACTTGCTGGATCAAGAGCAAATGCAAAGACAAGTTGAGGCTGGGAAGTTGGGGACAGATCTATAGTATACAGGGAGCTGGTTGCAGCCCCTTATATATATTGGCTAAGACCTTCCATTGGAGCAGTGCTTTTGGCTTATTTTCTTTTTTTTGTGAAGCACTCATTCTTGAATGTTGACAGCAGC